CACTAGCGCCGAGTTCAGGCCATGCTCCAGCCCCGTGGGAGCCCTGCTGCCCTCCTGGGAAAGGTGAGCACCAGTGCTGCCCTCCGGGTGCTGTGGCCCCAACAGTCTCGCTGGCCTCTCTCTCTTCTCTGTCCTCCCACCAGAAGTTGCCCTCATCATCTCATCCCATCTCTCCAGTTAATTGTTTATATGAACACTGCTTCATTTATAAAGCATTCGGAGGAGTCGCTTCAAAACTTCTTTTGTTCCCTTTTCCCATGAAGGAAGTGGTAGCTGGGGGGAATCAGAGGGGATGGGGTGATGAAGGTGCCTGAGGCAGGCACAGACCTTGCACCGTCACACAGGGTGGCGTGGGGACCATTGCTCACTCGGGGCAGCCTCTCTCTACCGACTGAGCTGACAGACCTCCTCTCTTAGCTTTGCCAGTAGAGACCCAACGTTGGGAATTGCCGCCCCGAATTTGCAATCAGCCACCTCTTACCTACTGCCAGTGGGTTGTGTGTAGCTGTGGGTTGTTGCAGACTGATGGTGTCAGGTTCTTAAGCTGAATTCCTCTGTGCACTCTGATATTCTAGCTCACACTGAAAGCCAGAGGTAAGTATGCAGCCTGTTTGCTTGTGCCAGTGCCCATCGTTGTACCACAAAGGACCCAGTCACCCAGAAATGCCCTCCTGTGCTCATCCTCCCTGCAGTCTCTCATGTGGTGTGCCTGTGCTTGGAGAGGAGTGATGCTGAGTTGTGAGTTCATCTCTTGGTACCATATCTTCATCAGCATTGGGAAATTGCACAGTGACTTCCAATTGCACAAGGATGTTGAGTGTTGCAGTAGGAAAAAGAGAAGGTATTCAACTGACTTCCTGCAAGTTTTTTAATCTGTTGGGTAACACAGAGTGTGAGGTTAGTCCTGTGAGCATTCCATGCTCCTGGAATTCACTCATAATTTAAGACTAAAGAGGTTGTGCTGTTTTAATAAGATTGTTTTAAAGGTCTCAGCTGACATGTGTCTTGTTGTCAGTGCTACCAGGCTGTGCCAGCGCTGGTGTGGAGCCAAGGGTGCCAGTCTGCCCTGCAGTGTCCTAGCTGTCAGTACTGCCCTGGTGAAGGGACTTACCCCATTTTGGTAGTGGTCCTTATTTAAGAAGTCTGAAGGGGAATATGCTCCATCCATATGTAGTTTCTCTGTGAAGCATGTCAGTACATGTGGGCTGACTTGCCTGGTACAAACGTTCTGGTATGTGCATCAAAATTTGTTCACTTAGCCCTCCTAAATGAGCATGAATTTAGTTTTATGGCAAAATTATCCTCTCTTCAAATGCTCTTATACATGTGAGCTGAGTTCTCAATCGTGCAAGAATACAAAATAGCAGTTATAAGAAAAACATATTCCAGGAAATATGTTACAGTGTATTATGAGTTTGGAAACTAATTATTTTGTTTATTATACAATCCTATCATCTTGGAGCTGAGTGATGGCTGAATAAGAACTTAACAAGAACTAGACAAAAGGGGATGCAGACGGCAGGAGCAGGCTGAGTGACTTAAGTGAAATTAATTATTCACTTGCATAGGAACAATTTTCTGCTAAGATAAATTTCTATAGTTCTGCTGTTGGTACATTTCTTGTATTTGTAAACCTTCATGGTAACATTTAATGACAACCAACACAGAGGGAGAATGTTTGAGTGCAGTATCTCGCCAAATTCACATGCCAAGATTCCTCTCTAATTATTTGACTTAATTTCTTTAATATATTCTTTTTTTAGGCTGATATCTCTTTTGGAGTACATCTGTGAAATGTGATACTACTTATTTTTCAATTGTTTCTTTTTAATCATAGGATTACTTTTCTGGAGTGCTAGTTGAGTTCTGCCCTCAGAGCCACTCTCTATACAGCAACACATTCCCAAGCCCTTCTGAGCTGTGAGTGTGGCCATTAGCAGATGGGATCTGTTCCCCTGTTTCTGTGTGCTCTTTTGCTTTGATACATTTTCAGCACAGCCGTTAGCATTTGCAGCATAATTTTTTTAAGTGGCATATTTTTAGAAGAAATCTGTTGTGCATTATTTTAGATGATACCTGACGCCTAAAGAGCACCATTGCCAAACACGTCGTGCATAAAAGAGAACATTTGGGGAAATGGCTATCTTAAAAAGATGTAGCATGATTTATTTGAGCAATTTGTTTGAAATTATGTTCATCAGCATGAATTTCCTTGTCACCCATTCTATAGGCCTGGGTTATGAGCTGGAAAAGGATAAAATGGCTCTGGTCTGAGCCAGTGACAGTAACGCAGAGCTAATTCATGCTCAGAGCTGGGAAAGTGATATGAAATTATTGTGTTGTGCAAATTAGTGACAAAGCAAAATAATGCTTTAAAAAGAAGATATCAGAATATTGGTTTAATTGAGAGCTATTACTTTATAGCATATTAGGAAATAATACTGTGTATGTTTTGTGCCAGTAATGAAGTCTTAATGCTGTAGGAGTTCATTGGAGCATCTTGATTAGAGCATTGCCAAGAAGGGCAGAGAGCCTGCTCTGGTTTGCAGAAATGGCAGTGCTGTCGTGCAGATTGTTGAGGCTGTTTTCCTGGGAATGTATCTGG